GTGTAAGGAATTGAATTTAGTAATTTTAACCTACAACAAAAAATTCTAGATCTAGGTATTCAGAAAATCTGTCCGAAAATTAAAGCAAAAACCCAATCATGCTCAGTGACGAAATCACCTGCGTACTGCTCCTTAATAAAAGAGAATTTAGAAAGTGGCAAACGGTTTGGGTCCAAATCCGAGTATGGTTGGCCTGTTCGGAATCCAAACTTGGGCGGCGTATATATATCGCTACTGTATAGCCACCGAGTGGACAATTACTCAATCACACTGACAAACGAACTTGGCCGAATATCCCCTGACAACAACACAGATATTTTCCTGGAACAGATTCAGATTTTGCGATAGATTCAAGTGCCTTTTTAAATTTTTTTTCTTAGGGAAGTGGTGTTGAATAACCTAACATATCTGTCTGCGTGACTTGACCATTTTTGTTACCTGTAAACCTTCACCTAATCGGAAGTTACGTAAATTTAATTTCTTTGGAGAATTGTCCTACAAATGTGAGTTTGGCGAAGGTACTAAAGATGCTATTACAACGGCTGCTCAGTATTTGTGGCGAAGGAGGCATTGCTTTAACTGTTAAATGCTACGGCCATATCATAGGTGTCTCCCTAGTGTAGAAAAGTTATGCTGCATGATTTACGGTAGAATACTTTGCTTGTTTTGTTCTGTGCCTCAAATGCGCGGAATCTTCGAATGAGTGTGATCAGGATCTTGCTGTTAGAGAGCCAGCTTCAGGGTGTAAATTTCAAGCAAACTAAAGTTATGTATATGTGGACGGCAAGAAATGCAAAAGCTCAAGACCAAAAGCTCCAGTTCGATTGGTTAGGGCATGAGTGACATATGAATATAGGTATATGCACGTAAAAGTACATCTACCCCTCTAAGAGTAAGGTGGAATGAAATTCATATTTGGCCTAGAGGAGTTAAGGTACTGTTCCTATACATGGACTTAAAGATCTAGTCATGCGTAATCGCAGAGAGAGGAAATTTCACTTCGAGAGCTAAGTTTGTCACATCTTTAGGATGCCTAAGTTTGCATCTTTCAAGGGAAGACAACGCCACCGCATTGCCAGAGGCCGCAGAATGAAATATGTGACCGGTTCTGAAATCAATTTAGAGGTTAGTTGCTTCAATTTTCGGACTCATCAAGTACCAATTTAGGAAATCGGACGTAAATATCTCCAAACGGAGAAAAAGGAGACAGAGAACCGATGAACAGTATAGCTAACTACATGTAAGACGCCGCTTCTCTATCTGCGTTTTCTAACCAACATAGAAAGCAAGTTAATCTCCATTGTTTGACCGGAAAATGAGAGCATTTATCGAATCCTTCAAAGCACGCCTTCAATTGCTTCATTTGAGAAGACTGCCGACATCAAATTAACAAAGCCAATGGGGGTGCTATACGAGAGGTGGTAAATTGGTGTAAAAATTAAACAATCAACATATCGCGCAAATACCCACGAATTCTCGAGAAGTAAAAGGGGAGGGTTGGCTATATTCACTTACCACAGGCCACCCTCATAGTAAAACCACAAAGTACTCAAAGTCTAAGCTCATAGATTGGGCCAATGTAATATATGGATATCAGGTTGTAGCATGTGATTAGGTTCACAAAATCGCAAGTCAGCTCTCTTGGGATTGGCGGAAACTGGATGCTTTAATGCGTATTTAGGTGAGAATGTGTTATGTACACAAGTGTCATTGGAATGCGTTTATCTGTTGCTTTTCAACTCGGATATAATGATGGTTATCAAAACCTTGTTACACAATGAGGATACTATTATGGAGTGTCAATTAAAAGTTATGGAGTTTCGAGGAGTAAATGTTGATAACCTCAACCCGATCTCACACAACCACGCCCACCTATCCGAGGAGACACTATGTACCCCAAATACCAACGGTCTGGAGTGCAATATGACAGTTTCTGCAATCTGATGGTCGGATTTCTGTGTGCACTGTAGGTCCAATTAAATAGAGTTTGAAAACCCGGAACTTCATCGTCTTCTATACTCTAAGGAAATTAATCTCTAGACCGAAGGACAACCGGGACAAAACCAAGAGGAACAATGTGATATACCAAATCGACTGCAACGACTGCAACAAATTCTACGTTGGACAAACTGGGAGAAAATTACGTACACGAATAAAGGAACACAACGCGGCTGTCAAGAGGCATGACCCCCTGTCCTTGATATCCATACACGAGGACCAGGAAGGCCACAAATTCAACATGGAAAACGCGAAAATTTTGGCATACGGAGACACGCGACACGGAAGAGAATTTCTGGAAGCATGGTACTCTACGACAGGTTCAATAAACCGGTGCATTGAACTGGATCCAATTTACGCACCTCTACGCGCGAGAGATCAACGTCGCAACCGAAACACTCAAGGAGGACCGAATAATGGATTCACAAACGAAGAAACAAGGAACTCCTCGGAGTCAAATCAATGAGGTCACAACCGGAACTCGGAAGGACAAAGGTCACTCCAACATCGACTAGACTACGACGGCGAGGGATGTCAAGTTCAAAAGTCACGTGGGCATCGGCGAATGAGGACACGGGATAAAAAGAACAACCAATGGAACCGCCCGACGGAATAACTAATCGCGGTCAAAGGTCATCCTCGGCTACAAGCACGTATATCAACACACACGTAACACTACTGAACGCACAACCACTAACCCACCGCTACGCACAACTACGCACAACTACGCACTGATGATGTCACCTCGATTAGTGATGAAATGTTTGCAACCAAATTGCCCAGCTCAGCGAACAAGCCAACGACCACATGTGATCCAATTCATCAGTCTCACACTGGCACGTTGGCCAACAAATTCAAAATGGATGTTTCCCAACTCTGTCCACTCAGGATTTGGGGAAACCGTCTCCAAAGGCTTCTGGAAACTGACCACAGGAAATCAATCGGGCAACGGGTACACTTTGAACCAAATTTGATTGCATGTACTCAAGGACAGATTTGAGAATCCTTTTCAGGAAGCAAATCAAATAGGTCATAGCATATGCAACCACCTGGATTTCAAAAATCGACGGCTGCTGATCTGTAAAGATATCCGAATACTCTTATGAATCCTTGGTTTAGACAGGAGAATTACACTAAAAGCATGTTTTTGCCGAGAGGTGCTGAAGATTTTAAGGTATATCATCTGAAATCCCTATTCTGTGTTGCATAGACGATGTTCGACATAGTATGTTTCCGTATAGGTGTGTCAGAAAACTGCCATGCAGGAAAGTGGAAAGTGCAGCTCGGAATAAATGTGGGCCAAAAACGCGAACAAAAACCTCAAGCTGCATTATCGGTCTATACGTTACAAAATTAGGCTCCGAAGATACGTCCGGAAAATAATAAACTGGGGCAGAGCATTAGCTACGCCCGAAAACTCTAGCGCAACAGATCCGAATTTTCTCTTTTCCGGGACCCGGTGACAGCCTAAGCTTAGCGCTCTAAACTGTTCTTGTGCATCTGACGATTTCACAATATCCATCGCAGACATCAAAATGTCGTGTGTACTAAACACATTAGAAGCGTAAAACTTAACGCGCTTCCAATCGACTGGTCTGCAACCGGAATTCTCTGAATAGTGGTTAACATCATCGATTCTTAGCTCATTCTACTTTTCACAAGCACGGATACAAATTCCCTGTCTAAACTGTGGCAGGTTATTTTATGTATGCAATTGAAGGTCCTATGAAAGAGCATTTGAGGTAAAAAAAATCACAGCATCTGAGCATTACAAATATCCAGATTTACTCCCATCATAAACCACATAAAGGCTATTTCTATCTTACGCACCTCTTAAATGTTTTTGGGTGAATTGGCTCAATTCATATAAAGGCATCGAATCGCCACCTGGAATTGAATAAGCGGGTCTCTGTCTTCCCATGATTCCCGGCTATGCGTCTGGAATCCACATACTGGACAGTGAACTCAACAGTTTCAAAATATCTTGCGTACCAATGTTAATCTCAGAGACACTTCCAAAACGCCGGCCTTCTCAATATAGACTAAAGCCGAGTAAAGTGTGCTTCTCAAAATGTCCAGATATTCCGTAAGGTGGGTGACAAAATGAGTCTTACCGTTCAGCTCATTGAAGATTTTAGCGCATATTATGATAGTAAAACATAAAGCGAATCACCGGAAACACTATTTAAATGTATGAATAACCATGACGAGCTATACGAAAGCCTTTTGTGGGTCCTTTGAGAGTATAAAATTTATCAAAGATGTAAAACGAGAAGACAAAGAAACAGGTATAAAGTAAAAAGAGAAACACGGAAAATAGTCACGAAAAAGAAAAAAATTGTGAAGAAGAAATATGAAGTGATTTTAATGTTAGCGATCTTAAAATTGCTCTATTTTGCAAACTGCTGCTTTATCTGCCTCTTGAAAAGGATTACACAAGACATTTGTGATTCTGCAATATCGTGGACGGCCTTCTATTCTCATTCTGTGTGGCATTTGTGGCCATTCTTTCCAGGCCTGATTTTCCAGAAGCCCCTAAAACCCTAAAAGTTGCTATTATTAGGAGAGAGAAGGCCTTCAGTGCGGAGTTGTGTACTAGAGAAACACCAAGTTAACCGCTACAGACTACTGGACAGGAGAGCAGAACTCTCATATGCATCTTGTTAACAAAACTGGATATCTCTCTTCTGCTTGAACGCGTCTTCCTGAACTCTCCTGCATATTCATTGACTGCTACTCAAATGCAAGTAAATGCTACAAAGCGACTCTACTATTCGCGTCAAGAGACGCGAAGCGGATTTACGAGAGAATGTACCCATCAGTATCCCATCAGTAGTACCCACCGTTACACACCTTCACCTTTAAAGGTCGTTCGCCAGCCGCCGACTCCCATTTACCTGTAGTTTCCGTTCGCCTTCCTTACAAACACAACCTTGGAGTTTTGCGCACTATTGGCTTCTTCGGTTATTCCACTCTTCAACATTTCTTGAATCTGTTTATGGACCTCCTCCTGTAGATGGAGGAGGTAGCGGACGGAGGCCATAAGTTCGAAAGCGTTCCGACAAAGCGTTGTGTTTACAGAACTGATCATCCATCTTCTCCTTGAACGCGACTTCCTAAAATTTCCCGGATATTCATTGACTATTACTCAAATGCTACAAAGCGACTCCATAAATTTCGTAATAGAACTCACTTCTCAAGGGAAGCAGATCGGATTTTTGAGTAAACATACTACTCGCACGCACCCATCAGTAGTGCCCACCGTTACACTATTATGATAATGTATGAGTGAACTGATCCCGGAGTTTTTGTATTCCGTAAGCCTTAGTCTTAGCAAACGATTGCCGAAATGTGGGTCACTTGAGCAAATAGAGCACTTCGTTTTTTATAGCTGACATCTTCAAATCCAAGTCACATAGGCTTACAACTTACCAAATCCTCGGCGAAAAACTTGAGAGGTTTTGAAGTGTACTCGAGTGCTCTCAAGCACTCAAATTTATTGGTGAATTTCACAGCAAAAGATAATTTAAGAATCCACTTTTATTTGCAGTTGTTTTGTACGCAAGCCAAGTGAGCTGGGCGAAACAGCAAACGCTGTCAACCAAAAGATAGGCGACCGATCCTACTACGCCTGATATGTCCTTATCATGACAAAACACAGCGACGAGCTTTCAGAACTACCCACATTCAGTTCCCTACCTCAGTGATCTTATCAGTGAATAACTGAGGCTGAGAATCTGCTGTAAACTTCGGACCATGAGAGAAAATATCTGAAAATAACCAGTCCTGTCAAATACTTCTCATTATACGGAAGCATTTTAAGGTATTGTTCTCTTCCAAAATCATTTATTCCGTCATCTAATCCTTCATCTGTTATCTGTTCTCTTCCTATCGTCTGCAATCCGGCAGAAATTTGTTCATTATTCAGAACAATCCTACAAAAGACCTCCACATAAAAGGTTAGTTTATACACAAAAATGTTTTTACAAATGATGTTCATATCATCGAGATGATGGATTGTTTTTCTGAACGCTGTCAATGGAGCTCACAGTTCCCGGTGGTGGATATATATCAACTCACTTTGCTTCCAATATGATTGATGTTTCGTCAAAAAACATTTGGAAGAGAACGCCGCATAAACAAACACACCTGCAACCGATTCGCCATCCATATAGACAGCTTCTACTAGTGGTCCGGATCATGATGATGATTTGTATCTTAATAGTTGAATTTCCCGCCTAGCGAACTGATCCCTTCTTGCAGTACGATCACCCTAATTTTTTCTGACCAACTGAATGAGGATTAGTCTATATTTCCGATCTAATCAGAGCTATTTGGTGCTCAACCTTTGCGAAGTCGAGGCGTAATTTGAGATATAGGACAATGCGTCAATATTGGACTTGCCAGAATACTTTTTTTTGGGTGGGGGGCAATGGTAGAGGCAAATACGACATAAAGACATCCATTCAGCTGGATTTCAGGTGAGTCTGTTACATAACCAAATTAGTGTGCAAATGAGTGCATTCCCCTTATTACATAAGACTTCCTAATTAGTTTGATCACAGCAGTGTTACCACAGCATGATTGGGATAAAGAATTATAGACTTCTTGTGGCGATTTTGTCCTGTAAGTGATGCCAATCTATGCTGAGAAGCCAAGAAGCGCTGTACAGGTGCTTCACCCTTATTGGGAATCACCAGCAGTGCGCATCTCACGAGACTCTGGAGAGTCTCGAACCCGTCACCTCCTGGATACTAGTTCGAACACCTAACCGTTCGGCCACGGGCGGATGATCGGTAGTGTGATTAACACGGGGAGTCGGCTTTTCAGCATAGATTGGCTTCACTTACAGGACTAAATCTCCACAAAATTCCCAAATCCCTTCACTCTACCAATAATCAACAAGTAGATCAGTGGAAGAATAAACTTCACCCGATGAGTGAAACTTCCATCTGAGAAGTCGTTGCTCCAGGAGCCAGTCAACAAGTGTGACCGCACGATGTGGAACCCGTGAATGAAGGATGAACGGGGCTATATCCTGTCTAAGTGCGAGTTAATTGCACTGCTAATCATCCGCCCTTGGCCAAACGGTTAAGTGTTCAAACTAATAGCGAGGCGGTCACGGCTTTGAGACTCTCCAGAGGTTCATGAGATGCGCACTGCTGATGATTTCTAACATGGATGAAACAGCTGTACAGTGCTTCTCGGCTTTTCAGCATGGATTAGCTTCACTTACGGGACGAAATCTCCGCAAAAATCCCAAATCTCCCCACTCTACCAACAAATATAAATTTTCTCATCGGTTGCCAACGCGTACGTGAATGAGAATGTCGATTTCACCTAGGAACAGAGACTAGTACATATATATAATTGTACACTTAATTGAACAGCAGAGCTCCTACTCTTCGTATTGGCAAAATATTTCCGCCATTATTCATGGATCCTGCCTACTTCCGTTTCCTGAATGTGACAGTACCTCGTTATATGTTATCTGGTGCGCTTATACTGGTCAATTTTTTCCATGAAATTCAGCAAGATACTCCAGTAGTCAACGGACTGGGGAGTAACGAGCGTCTATACCAGGTACGCAACAACATGAAACTTGCAAGCTGGCCGTCGGTACATCGTGAACCATGAAAAGCCGAAATGGACTACATTTCATCCAACAGGAATTTCGAGGTGAAATCCTAGAAAATAAAAACAAAAGCTCACGCATTCTTCTGGCACGGGTCCGTCCAATTTTTCACTAACAGGTGTGTTTAGGGAATATTTCGAATTTTGACTTGCGGCAAAAGCTGAGAATGTCAGTCATGCAGTAAAATTAGTAAACCGAGCAGCAATATTGCGTGACGATTGAAATATAATTTGCTGCTTAGCACATGAATTTTTAGCGCATTCTATTTTAATTATTTCTGGGTATTCTTTTAATACTTTCACTTTGGAACTCTTACTTCGAAAATTTTACCTCGTCTTACATTTTTCAACGTGGACCTAAACCATTCCTTTGTGTGTGGAGTTCCCGGAACAAATTGCCTGATATCTTACACAAATATACGAGAGAGCGTGCAAAAAATCTGGTGTTAGGTTGCTAGAAGAAGGTGAATTGGAGTACCAGTAAGTTTGATATAGAAAACTGTTCGGCCCCTACTTGCTCTTTCAAAATCAATTTCTGACCTTGGAGCCCTAATTATCCTCTCGCACAGGCGTAGTTTTCCTGGTACTATGTCAGTTCACGTGACACCATGAATTACACCGACACAACCAATTTCATGACACCTCGGCTGTGGCATTACGAATTACGTTGGGTGGCCTTATTCGCTGCATACAGTATGGAGGGCAACGGGACGCCGACGCCAGTTCTCTTCCTTAATTATCTTCTCCCTAGCTACAGTCTAATTAACTTTTTCGTAAATCCAGGCATAGTGCACGCCATTCACCTACACACGACTGTAACCAACTGCACATCATTCCCTAGAAGTGCCGCTTTACTTTCAGTATTCGAGCGCTGTTCCCACTTTTTGATTCAAACTTTAACGTTCAAAGACTTAAGCAAGTTTTATTGCTAAGTAACTCTAATTCGGACGCCTAATTCTTTGACTGTTGATCTTCTACCAGTTTTGTCATTTTTTTCAAAATTTTAATGATTCAGCTCAGCTCCATAGACATGAATCTATTGCTTGGTTGAATGTCTGTAACGATAATGCTGCACTGTTCTTCTGGCAGCTTCTGAAAGCGTTCATTCCTAACTAATTGAAGAAGCATGTTTTTTGTGTTTACTGCTTAAGCACTAGCCTACTGTACCTTTCAGCCGATGAACACTATATTTTATCGACTAATAACTATGTAACCAAAGTGGTCTAGGCAGAGGGACGTTTTGTCCAAACATGGTTTCTCTGTTAAGACAAGTCTAATTAAGATGCATGACTTCTTTGTTGAAGGGTGTTGTATTGATCAGCGGTTGTTTCCCAGGAGTGTGATCAGTCCAGGTCCTGGCAACGAAGTATATAATTCCTAACCAGTCTACTCGCATACACGCCATCTCCCTAGATGGGACCTGTGGGCGGAACAAACCAGTTTTCGGCGACCCTGGGAGATGCCGCCGTATCACACAGCCAATGGTGGTCTTGCATCAAGGTTATCACCTTCAATGTGTTAATCGCATTCCCTACCACGCCAAAGCAACAGAATCATTCTACGTCAAAGAAATAAATGGCCATAGCCATCAATACCTGACTTTCTTTAATTTATTCTTCTTATCTTCGGTGAACAAAGCTGTGGCAGCTGGAACCACTAAATTTTGATGCAGGGTGGGAAAACCTAACTGGGCTGAACATTCCAGGTCCCAAAGTTCTGCGTCACTTGCAGAAATCAGGCGCAAACAACGATTCAGACCTGGCATCTCCCTTATTCCTCAGTGAGCTATAGACATACAGCTTTTAATGTCCATTTTAATCAAAAATATGGTTGCAGCAGTTTGCGTTAGAACAGCTCAAGCTGTAAAACGCTGTCCGACTACTAGTGCTATTCAGTAGTGAGGTTGGGTTAATGCAAAATACTGGTTCTCCATTTGGGAGAAACTTTGGGTTCTCATAGTAAGCATTAAATCATAATACCCACCTCAAAGGTCCCTACATGTTTATGTAACAAATGCACAAAATTGCTTTTATAAGGTGTTGTATCCTCACACTGAAATTCCCATTATCTTTTGTATACTATGCTCAGACATGTAGCACCAGGAAGTCCTTTGTAAGCATGTTTTGCTTCACCAACTGTATCTTTACTTCATTCCCAGTCTCTTTCAAAGTATGCAACATATTTTGCGGTTTTTACAGTGTCATTTAACCTGAAATCATGTTGTTCCAAGCACACTGTGTACTGAAAAGCAGGTCACGTACAACTTGACAAAACTTGATAAAATTCCAAGTAAATCCCCTTTAAATAAGGTGTGAACACGCCTGATCGCCTTAGATTTCCTCTCTTATTGGAATACAACGATCAAGAAGTTGATACAGGTTGGTTTCGAATGCTACGTAAGGGTGGGAATTAAAGAGAGTATCTCGAATACAAGAAGTCGTTCAATCAGGCAAGACCATGCACAAGAGGTGGAACTTGTTGCGCTCTGAGTAGTTGAGTACCTTAGTAGAATTTTCCCGACCTCAGTCTTGGTTGCACAGTTGGATACGGCCATAAAATTGGCCTAGACTAAAAAGTAGCCGGAATGAACTAAGCAGGGATCAGCAAGGATCCTTGGCCTTGTTTGAATTTAGCTTTGTGAATTTACAAAACAACTAGCGCACACACGGTGTCCATCTGAACTGTCAGGTATGAGTAGGAAAACTCTTTCAGAAAAAAAGAAGGCCTTTGCTGCGGAGTTTTTCTGAAAATGCCAACTGAACAGTTACAGACTACTAGACAGTAGAGCGAAACTCCCGTATGTATCTTGTTTAAAAAAAGCTAAATATCCATCTTCTACTTTAACGCGTCTTCATGAACTTGCCTGGATATTCATTGACTGTTACTCAATTGCAAGCAAATGCTACAGAGCGACTATACATATTGCGTTATAGACCTCACTTTTCAAGAGGCAAAAAGGGGATTTTCGAGTGAACATACTACTCGCATACCCCCATCAGTAGTATCACCTTTCCATAGGTAGGAAATCTTTCAGAAACTTTCTCAGCCACTGAGGTTCCAAGCATGCTAAGCCATCCGAAATGGCTATTTTGCTGGTTGTCACTGTCAGAATGCTTACCGTTTCTTCCTTTGGAATCTTCAGCTTCGAAATTCACGCAGGGACAGAAAGACTCAGCTGGTATCTACCGAATGTCTTCTTAAACGTCCACATATTTAAATGAAAAATAATTTACAGTATGTTAGCCTGGCAGCCTACATATCACTTCCATTCATGCTAGTTAGTTCTCTGATTAGCTGATTAAATAGGATCATGTAAATTATGGGTCGAGGAAAGCAAATTCATTATTAAACCTCAATTTATTTGTATTGAGTTCAAGGGGAGATAAAAAATATCGTCACTGCGGTGTACAAGATGATTCGAGAAACATTTGACAGTGAATTGCAGTCAGCCTTCTTTCGCCAGACCCCAGGTAAGAGAGCATTTGGAGGAAAGTTACTTTGCTGTAACGCGTCATGTCCTAAAGTCAAGATCAATGCAGGCTTCTAAAAGACAGGTCAAAACAACCAGAGCCACCATATTTTATGAATTGCGTAGCAAGTACGGTATAGGTGTACATCAAGGAACCCGACTCACGGACAGAATGGTTTTGAGAAATATGGAAATCAAAGGACAGACACAAACACAAATGACTTTGTTCACTTCAACGACAGATCAATGAAGCGATAGTGAACCTATGTGGTTTTAGCAAGCAAGCACAGGCTGACCATTAATATTTTGGAAACCAATTCTCCAATCCAGTATATATCCACTGGTTAAAATTGGGGTACACTATGAGGCAAACCAAAAGCAGAAAAGCAAGCACCGTTAGTGGTCAGTGAACTGAAAGCCCAGTTCGATGATGCGAATCATCCAGAGAACGCTTGAGCAACTGAGTCGAGCAGTGTAAATCATGTGACATAAGCATGTGACATATTAAGCATTTTAAAAGCAGGAACTCACGACTGCAATGCGGTTTCAATATAATCGAATAACATTGACAGATTGATATCAGCACCCCATGAGCTATTCTGTAGGCAGTTGGTAACATGTAGATTGCATTGATAACCTGATAAGCAGTGACGCAATCGACTTTCAGTCTGTGTTGGAGTCCATTTGTGATCCAGAAATAGATGCTCATGAAGCGCAAAATCCTCAAGAGAAGTAACACTCAGCCCTATTCGTGGAGAAGCGTGACATTTTTTAGTTTCAAATTAAGCCACAGTTTGGTGGTAAACCAAGATAACACGTTGTTGAAAAGGCATTGTATATGGTTCTATATAACGGATGCTTGTGGATCATTTTTATACACGAGGCTGGGTGGTGGACCTCTCCTGAGGGGCGGCGAAATCCATGGCAATTCTTTCTAATTTGGTCGCCCTAATTCTACTTCATTTGTTATCTTGCGACTAGTAAGAGACCCTTATTACAGCTAAAAATGGTTCACTTTGATACAAATGAGTACGCACAAACCGCGAATGTCAAAGAGATCACAAAATGCTTTCTGTTGGACAGACAATATGAGTAATTCGAAACAAAATATAAAATAAAAAACAATGAAGTCACACCTGATGGTATGTTTTCTGGTCGTTGGCTAGCCATAGTAACGTTTTACTATCGACAAAGTTTTCGCTGATAGAGCATCGAATCCATAATTTGTCTGCTGTGCAGTCAATAGCTTGTGTACTATGGTCAAATAATACACAGAGACTGGGCTCTCAATTCCCTCAAACTCACTTCACAGCTAACCTATGTGAAAAGGGCGAAATTCGTTTGATGAATCGACTGCGGGTGAAGTGCAACACATCCACTACTCCTCCGTAGAGGTGTCACTCCGGTGGATCAAACAAAATGATGTTCACAACCCGCTGTGATTTGGTTTACCAGTTTCCAGCCGAAAAAATTCAAAGAA